CCTCCTCCTTTCCCTCTACCACCTCTTTCCTTCCCCCTCCCACCTTCCTTTCCCTCCCACCACCTACTTCCTCCTCACTTCCCCCTCCATCCTCCTTCCACCTCCTAACTTCTCCCTTCCCCTTCCCCTCCCACATCCTCTTTCCCCTCCCTCCCTCTCTTCCTCTCCCACTTCCTCCCTTCCCCCTCCCACCTCCTCTCTTCCCCTTTCCACTTCATCTTCCCCGCTGCTACCTCACTTCCCCCTCCCATCTCCTCACTTAATCCCCCCCCCTTTCCCGACATTTCTTTACCCTCCTGCCCCTTCCCAATGTCCCTCTTATACCTTCTCCGTTCTTCCTCTCCTTCATATTTCCTCACTTCCTCCTTCCTCTTCCATCCTTTCCTCTCCATTCTTCCCTCCTCCTCCTCTACCCTCCCCCACCCCTCCTCTACACTGGGATTTGGTAGTGTGGTTTAAGTTTTATCGGCAGTGAGGTTTAATTACATGTTCGACACTGCATTCATTAGCTGCCTTTGTTCAAGTGTTGAGTGTGCCGCCCCGTGTGCCGCCCCGTGTGCCGCCCCAGCTACACTGTAATGGGAGACTGGTGTTGTTTCACTACTCCGTGGACGGGTAGTAAGTAGTAAAGGAAAAGAAGAGGGAGTGGAGCTAGTTAGGAGAGAGAGAGAGAGAGAGAGAGAGAGAGAGAGAGAGAGAGAGAGAGAGAAGGATCGAAGGAAAGAAAGAAGGGAATCGGCAAGGGGGATAATAACATCATTAATAATAATCATAATAATAATAATAATAATAATAATAATAATAATAATAATCTTTATTACTACAAGTACATGATACAACTATACAAACCTAGCTGACATTCGTTACATAAGAAAACCCCTGGTTATGTAGAGCATTTCAAGCAAATTAGGGTAATTTTGTCCCCAGGATGCGACTCACACCAGTCGGGTAACACCCAAGTATCTACTTACTGCCAGGTGAACAGGGATAGCAGGTGTCTTAAAGAAACACGCCCCATTGTTTCCACCCGTACCGGGGATCGCACCTCAGTGTGTGAACTGAATGCGGTACCAACCGAGCTACGTGGGGAAGATGCGTTAGGGGACTTACAGGACTGGGGTAAAGGAAGGGGAAGGTGGATAGTAGTAGTGGACCGTCTGCAATACTTTCCATATAATAGCCAAGCTTCAAGAGCGTCTTGAAGAATCAGTTAGATCAAGTGGGAGATGAATCAGGGGAGTCTGTCCGTCTGGGGTAATGCAGGACACCTTTCTTGTTCTTTCAATATTTCTTTTTTAATTTAAGAGGCCTAGTCTTGCGTTCTTCGAGGCTGTGTTAAGGGTAGTATTGCGTTCCTTGAGGCTGTGTTAAGGGTAGTACTGCTTTCCTTGAGGCTGTGTTAAGCGTAGTACTGTGTTCCTTGATGGTGTGTTAATATAACTCCGGGAAACAGTCAGCCTTAACACAGCCTCAAGGACCACAGTACTATCTTGAACATAGCTTCAAGGAACACAGTACAACCTTAACGCAGATTCAAGGAACACAGTACAACCTTAACGCAGATTCAAGGAACACAGTACTACCTTAAGGCGAGCACGTTGTTACTAAGAACAATGTAGTGGTGTCTTGTGCGTTAGTCTGCGTATCTTCCGTCTACCATGCCTCTTTCTTCTCAATTCTTTTCCTATGTGAATTAGACTTGACTTAAGAAATCGTAATGACACGATTGCAAATAAACCATACCCCCGGCCGGGATTGAACCCGCGGTCATAGAGTCTCAAAACTCCAGCCCGTCGCGCTAACCACTAGACCAGCTAGCCACAATAAGATTCATCCAACTAGGTATATTTCTACACCATAGGAAAGTTAGCACAGGCACCTCTGTGACCACAAATGCAAGTTTTTACAGACGAATCTCCAGCTAGCGTGGCCGTGACGAACTCTAGCTCAAGTCCCTTCACTGCCGTCAACATGACTTAAGAAATCGTAATGACACGATTGCATTTGTGGTCACAGAGGTGCCTGTGCTAACTTTCCTATGGTGTAGAAATATACCTAGTTGGATGAATCTTATTGTGGCTAGCTGGTCTAGTGGTTAGCGCGACGGGCTGGAGTTTTGAGACTCTATGACCGCGGGTTCAATCCCGGCCGGGGGTATGGTTCCTATGTGAAGCAGTGACAGATAAACGGAGATGAGAACAATATAAACAAGTGACGTAGGTAGAAGAGGATAGCCACTGACAGGTGGATAAGCAAACAGAATGAAATACATGAGAGAGAAGAGCAGAAGACACACACAACTCTCTTGTACCACTCAGTGATAAAAATTCGTAATAGCTTGAAAGAGAAGATAATTTTTGTGTAACTGATAGTTTGTCTCTTGAAACTATTTTTTTTCAGTTTGGAAAGCCTTTTGATATAAATGTTAGAGTATACATGTATTTTGTAGACCAAAGTGTATATATATATATATATATATATATATATATATATATATATAATAATATATATATATATATATATATATATATTATATATATATAGTCGTGCCGAATAGGCAGAACTTGCGATCTTGGCTTAAATAGCAACGTTCATCTTGCCATATAGGACAAGTGAAAATTTGTGTATGCAATAATTTCGCCAAAATAATTCTGAACCTAACGAAAAAAATATATTTCACTGTGTTTGTTTAGTATTAAATTACTGTAAACAAATCTAAAATATGTTTAGTTGGGTTAGGCTAAAATAAATTGTTCTTGTTATAATAAGGTTAGGTAAGTTTTCTAAGATTCTTTTGGAGCAAAATTAAATTTTTTTACATTAACATTAATGAAAAAAATATATATTTAAACGTATAAGAGAAAATTTTAGAAAGGACTTAATTTTAAATGAGTTCTTGCTAATTGACCAGTTTTACATATTCGGCACGACATATATATATATATAAAGACAAGCCACAGGGGTTGGAAATCTTTAGCTCAAGTACTTTCACACTTCTCAGTGCGTCATCAGGAGCTATGCAAGGTTTCAAGGCAGAAACTAAAGGCGTGCTGGGTTGACACAAGCCGTAGCCTCACTCTGAACGTCAGGCAATGATTGCGTGCTACCTGCCCCAACACCTTTCCCGTTCCCTTCCCCATGTGGGGTAGGAGAGGGCCTCCAGGTTTTCAGAAGTCAAGGAATAGCAAATTAAAATATATAATAGCTAGCCCGAAGCTGTATCTAGTCATGTGACTTGAAAATATACTTTTCACAGTGGATAATATATTGATTGCTATTATTCGGTGTAACCTTTTAATTATTAAATAAAAAAAATAATATACTTTCTTGGCCGTTTAAATGCTGTAGTCTGGGGTTGTAGAATGTTCCTGGGGGTACTCAGAAGTATCTCTTCATATATTCCTAAATAATGTCTTCCATTCACGACAGGCGTAGCATGTTAGGTGCGTAGACACTGGTAGAGCGCCACCAGTACATCATGAAACCACCTGGCATAATGAACAATCCTGTGATTTTGTGTAGCATTGTTGTTTATGATTATGTACAATAGATTCTACTAAATAACTATCGAGCTTCAATAACCCATAATTTCAGTTATATGCAGTATTCCTGTAATGTTTCAAGAGAAAAGATTCAATTTTCTTTTTTCATGACGGAGCTCTTGGGTACAATAATCAGGGCAGCAGCCCACCCTGGTGGGTGATTACAGTAACTAACGTGGTTAAAGATAACTTTCGACTCCTGCCCTGTACTGATTGAGTATTTATGTTGTACTGTTTTGGTTTCCAGAGGATTACCTGTTTGACCAATATATAAGACAGAACACTGAGTTCATGGGACCTTGTAAACCTCAACTACTTTGTTAGAGGGTTTGTTTTTAATCAACTTCTGTTTCACCGTTCCAGTGTTTTTGAAAGCAAGGTTTGTACTGATATTTTTTAATGCCTCACGCAGGCAGACCAGGTTCTCATTGTAAGGTAAAACTAGTACATTTTCCTGGCCATCACTTCCTTAGGTTCAGTCCTGTAGAAAGTCTTCCTTGCTGGCATTAGCGCCTTCTCGACAAAATCCATAGGGTACCTCAGTTTTGTGGCTATGTTGAATATCTTGCTGATTTTGTCCTCTAATACGATACTCTGGACTTGGAAATACTAACTTGAGTGCAGCTTTATGGGATTTGAGGAGTGAGCGTTTGTAGGAGGTAACAGCAAAAGTCAAGGAAGGAAAGAGGTGGGAGAATTGGGAGAAGAGTTGGCGAGTGGCGTTCATAATGTAAATCGCAGACTGGCGATCTTATCAATGCAAGTCAATATAAACAATATCAACAAGTGTGTATGTCTGCCGTGGTCTGCCTGTAGGCTGAACCTTCACGCCACTGAGTGGAACACTGCAGTTCAGTCAGTTTAAACTCCGTGTTTTAGTCTCATTGAAGATGTATGTATAATCGAACGAAAGTTCTTGGGTTTATTATTTTTTTAATTTTAAATGTGATAGGTTTAAAAAATCATGGAACAACACAGGTTTAAAAAATCATGGAACAACACAGTCGACATAATCCAAACCAGCAAGGTTTTAGAGCGGGACGATCATGGATGTCACAGTCTCAAAGGAACTCTTATAGTGCAGATTGTTGCGCCTTGATGGCCACTTATCACATTCCTGTGACCGGTTTCAAGGGTTATTCTACCTTGTCTGAAGCCGCCAACCTTCCCGGACAGACTTTGTTGAATTATATTAAAGTTAGTCACCATGCATGTCTAAGTGATCTTTTGCTGTGGTGGTTTGTTAGTTTACCCCTCAGGTGAGGGGTGAGTGTACCCTCATTGACCGGTGTACCTTGTGTTCCCTTAGGTGAGGGGTGAGTGCGCCTTTAATAACCAGTGTACCTTGTGTTCCCTCAGGTGAGGGGTGAGTGTACCCTCATTGGCCAGTGTACCTTGTGTTCCCTCAGTTGAGGGTGAGTGTACTTTCCTTGACCAGTGTACCTTGTGTTCCCTCAGGTGAGGGGAGCGAGGAGGCAGGGGGTGGCCTCACAGGGGTCACAGATGACTCTCCCCCAGTCTTCCTGGAACAACCTCAGGACGCCTATGTCATCAAGAACAAACCCGCCTCCATCACGTGCCGCGCCGCCCACGCCCTCAAAGGTGAGTCACTTTTTCCCACGCCCCTAAAGACGAGACACACCCACCCACGCCCTCAAGGGTTAGTTACTTATGCCCATAAAGGTGAGTTAAACTTAGTCTTACGGACTCAAAGGTGAAGTTTTTAGATCTACATCCTCAGAAGTGAGTTATACGTAAGTTCAAACACTCAAAAACATTACCACATAACATGAAAGCAACATGTAGATTCGACCAGTCCAAGATATAACTTGCTTCCTCAGTCAACTCCCGCAGATATTAAGACCCCTAAAAAATGTGCGAGAAATCGATAAATCCGAACGAATGTTATGGTCTTGTACTCCACGTGAGGGAAAGGAGGTGAGTTATATTACAAGAGCATCAAAAAGACCACAGTATTCACAACCATACAGACCATAGTATTCACAACCATACAGACCGCAGTATTCACAACCATACAGACCGCAGTATTCACAACAATACAGACCGCAGTATTCACAACAATACCGACCGCAGTATTCACAACCATACAGACCGCAGTATTCACAACAATACAGACCGCAGTATTCACAACAATATAGACCGCAGTATTCACAACCATACAGACCGCAGTATTCACAACAATACAGACCGCAGTATTCACAACAATACCGACCGCAGTATTCACAACCATACAGACCGCAGTATTCACAACAATACAGACCGCAGTATTCACAACAATATAGACCGCAGTATTCACAACCATACAGACCGCAGTATTCACAACCATACAGACCGCAGTATTCACAACAATACAGACCGCAGTATTCACAACAATATAGACCGCAAGTATTCACAACCATACAGACCGCAGTATTCACAACAATACAGAACCGCAGTATTTCAACAATACAGACCACAGTATTTACAACAATACAGACCGCAGTATTCACAACAATACAGACCGCAGTATTCACAACAATACAGACCGCAGTATTCACAACAATACAGACCGCAGTATTCACAATACAGACCGCAGTATTCACAACCATACAGACCGCAGTATTCACAACAATACAGACCGCAGTATTCACAACCATACAGACCGCAGTATTCACAACAATACAGACCGCAGTATTCACAACAATACGACCGCAGTATTCACAACATACAGACCGCAGTATTCACAACAATACAGACCGCAGTATTCACAACAATATAGACCGCAGTATTCACAACCATACAGACCGCAGTATTCACAACAATACAGACCGCAGTATTCACAACCATACAGACCGCAGTATTCACAACCATACAGACCGCAGTATTCACAACCATACAGACCGCAGTATTCACAACAATACAGACCGCAGTATTCACAACAATACAGACCGCAGTATTCACAACCATACAGACCGCAGTATTCACAACAATACAGACCGCAGTATTCACAACAATACAGACCGCAGTATTCACAACCATACAGACCGCAGTATTCACAACCAATACAGACCGCAGTATTCACAACAATACAGACCGCAGTATTCACAACAATACAGACCGCAGTATTCACAACAATACAGACCGCAGTATTCACAACATACAGACCGCAGTATTCACAACCATACCGACCGCAGTATTCACAACAATACAGACCGCAGTATTCACAACAATACAGACCGCAGTATTCACAACCATACAGACCGCAGTATTCACAACATACAGACCGCAGTATTCACAACCATACAGACCGCAGTATTACAACCATACAGACCGCAGTATTCACAACCATACAGACCGCAGTATTCACAACAATACAGACCGCAGTATTCACAACCATACAGACCGCAGTATTCACAACCATACAGACGCAGTATTCACAACAATACAGACCGCAGTATTCACAACCATACAGACCGCAGTATTCACAACCATACAGACCGCAGTATTCACAACAATACAGACGCAGTATTCACAACCATACAGACCGCAGTATTCACAACCATAACAGACCGCAGTATTCACAACAATACAGACCGCAGTATTCACAACCATACAGACCGCAGTATTCACAACAATACAGACCGCAGTATTCACAACAATACAGACCGCAGTATTCACAACCATACAGACCGCAGTATTCACAACCATACAGACCGCAGTATTCACAACCATAACAGACCGCAGTATTCACAACAATACAGACCGCAGTATTCACAACAATACAGACCGCAGTATTCACAACCATACAGACCGCAGTATTCACAACCATACAGACCGCAGTATTCACAACAATACAGACCGCAGTATTCACAACAATACAGACCGCAGTATTCACAACAATACAGACCGCAGTATTCACAACAATACAGACCGCAGTATTCACAACCATACAGACCGCAGTATTCACAACAATACAGACCGCAGTATTCACAACAATACAGACCGCAGTATTCACAACAATACAGACCGCAGTATTCACAACAATACAGACCCGCAGTATTCACAACAATACAGACCGCAGTATTCACAACCATACAGACCGCAGTATTCACAACAATACAGACCGCAGTATTCACAACAATACAGACCGCAGTATTCACAACCATACAGACCGCAGTATTCACAACAATACAGACCGCAGTATTCACAACAATACAGACCGCAGTATTCAAAAACCATACAGAACGCAAAGACTAGTGAAAAGAAAAGTTGAGAGTACCATTACGTTAGTGTCACAGTGAACGACAAACCAGTGACTCACATAAAAGCCACAGATGCTACCAACGCTTTAAAAAAATCATACATCATACATTTTATCAATCATACAAGTTCTCAGAGCAAATATGAACAACGAAGTATTGTTTATTAGTGGGTTTGTTAGCGGCTGTGATGCACTGTTTGCAACCTTCGTAGGAGTCCATATTAAATATTACTCCAGTAGCGAAATGTGGATTCCTGGGTACAGTGTAATTACAATCCCCATGATGGAAAAACGAGCCACCTGGGAGGATTAATCCGTATGTTGGTCATTATTTTTTTTTTTTGCACTGGCCTCTTTAATCCTACAAATGATCAAGTCGAATTTAGACATATTATTTGTATATAAACCAGTAGATATAAATTACCAGTAGATATAAATTCCCAGTAATTAAAAGACTAGCTGTTGAAAATTATTTACTGCACACATAGTTAGAACAGCGTTTATACATACCTCCGAACATCTGCAAAAATACCTCCGAACATCTGCAAAAATACTTTTTGGAGTAGAAGAGAGAGAGAGAGTGTGTGTGTGAGAGAGTGTGAGAGAGACCTTATAATATATACCTTTGTGATACCTGTTATCTGTTTCTATGGTTTTTGTCCTCATACAGCCTGACCTTAGGGTAGGCTTCCTTGTGACTGCCTGGTCAACCAGGCTGTTCGTGCTAGTGACCTGCACGCTCATGTAGTCACCACAACACGCCGGTCAGGAATTTTGCAGAAGATGCTGCTCCAGTTTCCTCTTGAAAACTTTGACTTTCATCCAGGTAATATTTCTGATATTTGCTGCTATTATATTGAAAAGTACTGAACCTTATCTACACAGTACCATTGCACCATACTTGAGAGATATGGGAGGAAATGTAAAGTAAACCAGCAAAGAGCAGGGGCGCCACGGGTACAGTAAGTGAACACTGTATCAGCATCCGTAGAAATATTGAAATACTGCCGGAACAAGTGTAGAAGTTTTCAAGAGGAAACTGGGCCACTACCTGCCAACAGTGCCAGATCAACCAGGCTGTGATGGCTATGTTTGCCATCGGGCAGCATAAAGTAACAGCCTTGGCTATCAGGCAGTCAAGAGGGAAGTCTGGCCTTAGGCCGGGTCGCCACAGTAGGAAGTGTGTCCTCAGACTGAGGTTAGAGGAACATTCCAACCTGACCACAGGTATGTCACAGCTGCCACTATTGTGTGACGATGGTGTGTCGCACAGGTGTGTTGCATAGGAGTCGCACATGTGTCTGACATAGTTGTGTTACGCAGGTAAGCCGCACAGGTGCACTGCAGGTTAATCACAGGTGCGTAAGACAGGTATGTCACAGATATTTCACACAAGTTAGTCACACAGGTTCGTCATACAAGTATGTTACACAAGTATGACACACAAATGTGACACACAAGTTACACATATATGTCACACACGTGTCACACAAGTGTCACACACTAATGTCATACAGGTGTGTCGCACAAGCGCAAGCACAGTATACAGGTATACTACGCAGTGCAACCAGTCCACAAACATTCTTCTTGATTTCAATTTAAGACGACCAAGAATAGAAGAGTGAAGCAAATACTGTAACAGCAGAGAACAACCCAGGAGACAGCTTGGACCAGGTAACTTACAAAGGAATTATCAAGACGGAACACTCAGTTCCTGAAGAATTCAGAGATAAGTAAGACAGAGAACTTCCTTGAAAGTCTTGAAAATCCTGCACCGTAGAACAACAACACATCCTCTTTGCAGATTTCAACCACCTGAATATGAAATGGGGAGATTGTAAATCACAACGTGTACCGGAAATTGTTGCGGGGAGCACGCCAGCTCAACAGGTGCATACCAGAGTACTAACTGGGGCTCACTGAAATGTTTACTTTGAAGCAGTAGATAACAGAACTAAAATACATTGGATCCGATTTTCACTAACAACGAAGAGGTAATGAGTAACATAACAATCACGAATACAATTTTTTCTTTTCACAGCATCATAGAAGTACAAACAAGAGTACTCTAAGGGTTGGGGGGGAGGGCTCCAGTAACAGTGAACGAGAAATGATGTTTTCTTCAACTGGGACAAAATTAGTAAGGAGCTGTCAGACACACCCTGGCAGACACACCCTGGCAGACACACCCTGGCAGACACACCCTGGCAGACACACCCTGGCAGACACACCCTGGCAGACACCCTGGCAGACACACCCTGGCAGACACACCCTGGCAGACACACCCTGGAAGACAGTCTAAATCCTCACCAGTGTTTTGAAAAGTTTAACACAGTAGCAT